GGACTGCATTCGGAAAATTATTGATAGGCATTGTTCTTTATTTGAAGAGACAAAGCGTGAATCGGCAATTTTTAAAGCGAGAATTAACCCCTCGAGTATTAAATTCAACCGTTAAAATATTCAACGCGTAGCAGCCACAATAGAATAGGCAGGAATTTCAGGATTTAAAAATTTATAACACTTTCATAACACTTTCCACAATCATTTGACAATTTCAATATATTTCGTTAAAAAGGGATTCTTTGAAAAACAGAGTGATACAATGCGGCATTCGAAATAATTGCAAACGTCAATACATACCTCCCACACCGCATATGAATAATCTCTTTCCGGAATAATCAAAACTTTAGCCCCACATGTGCGGGCAATACCCGGTATATGCATTGTAAATGAGTTTCAACAACAACGACACTCGTTGATATCGAAAGGGGTTGATACGGTAGATGGTTAGAGGGTGAAAGGGGCAGTGGTAAATGCCTCCCATAGGAGATGTGAGAGAGGATCGACGAACGAATCCACCCACGACAAATTAATCCAGGTAGCCAGGATTAATTGAAACATATTAGGTTATACCGATACCAGGAGCAGAAAGCCGACGGTGACGGTTTAGAGTGTTACCCTTACCAACGAGAAAGTGGCAACCGTTATGGAATGCACAATTCATCATGTTTTACGTCACAAATCCGGGAGCTTGCGGGATAAGGGATACATCAATGATAATAAATCCCCGTCACGCGTTGATTTTCGTCACTCTCCTCGATCTGTCATTCGGTCATTACTCTTTTCCACCGTATTGCTAATAAAATACTGCATTCTTATGGTACCTCTGGCTCCTGATAGCCTCAACTACGTGATATCGGGGTATATGCTCGATACATCTGAGATAAGTCTTCCAGCGATTTCCAATTTGCGAAATAGCCCGTGAAATCGTGCGTTTATGAGGCGAGATAACGCTCACCCGGGTGTATGTTTCTCTTGGCAATATGGGGGGCGTCGTTTCTGTCGGCTTGAGAGGTCCTAATCGGTTGGTGTATCGCGTCGTTAAGGGTTTCGACGTATTATACTGCGGTAACCGAGTTCTGGGGATTTAAATGTAACGTGTAGCCAATGTTACTGGAAGTTTCACCATTTCATGCAGCTGGAGTCGTTTCAAATCGACAGACAACATTTTTTCGAGAAACACTCATTTTTTTAATACTTGAAAAATTGAATGCGCGCTCTAATGTCATCGTGATTCGTAATTGCAATTTAATTTGCCGATTTAAATTAGCCCGTTGTCGTTTTAAAAATCAGCTGCTCTTAATTAAAAATACGGATTGATCGAGTCACTCGACTTGAATCAAGTTGAATAATAATGGGAGTCGGTAGTTTTTTTCAAATGATTGACAAAGCGACATTGAATTTGAGTTGACGTAGTTGAGATTACTCGAACCTGAATCATTACGCTTCGGTGAATTCAATTGAATTTCCGCTGTATACATTTTGATGTGAGTATTTCCCGATGATTATGTCATTCATTAAAGTCAGGACTGACGGTTCAGTTGTCCAACGAATAAAGATGCACTCGTATTACTTGTTTGGAAATTACTAAGTGTCGATGTTTGCCAACTAGCTGTTATTTCAGACTGGAAAACTTGAATATTCCCAGAGAACAATGATTTTCAATAGTTGTCACAGTGAATGGACGAAAATTACAGCTGTACATTACGATTTGTTCTATGAATTGAGTAAATGAATCTGGGATAAAATGAGGAATCGAATGAAATATCGGAATAAATTAAATAATCCATTAGCTTCGAATTTCTCGTGCAACTTGAATCGAAAAAAATTCGTTCAACTTTTCCACTAGGGACATGGCAACTCCCTTTGGCTTCCATTAGCCGAGACCACCGTCTTTTTGTACCGTAGAAGCCAGGGATCGTAAATAAACCATTCCATCCCTCTCTGTTCACGCGATTGGAAAAAAGCTCAACAGGAAAATGACGAAAAAGAAAAGATCCCGGAGAGTAGTATACGGGAATGAATCCTAGGACTCCTCTCAACGACACATCTCACATCAGTGATATTTTTCATCCAGTTAACGAGATAATTTAATGACAGAGCTAATTAAGTCCTCATTTTTTGATGGAATTGATCCCTTTCACCTGGAAATAGCGATCAAATATTCATCCCTTCACCGACAAAGAGAAGAACAATTGAATTCACACAACGCAAATGAAGTTGATTAATTTAGAAACGAAACTCGAAGGAACAGTTTCAATTTACAATTTAGATGAATAAATATCGTGGAAGCGACCGATCTGAGAATGTTCTCCTGATTTTCCTCGAACCGACAACTCGTCTTTTACACTCTTTCCCAGTGACTGATCAAACGACCAGATGCCTGGACAGCTCTCATTTTTACCTCGATTTCCCCATTAAATTCATCAAAGAAAAGTACTAAATAACGTTGACTTGATGAGAGATGATTATCCCAGAAATACTGAAAACAGAAAGAAAAAAACGATTTCGGTTATCGCACTGGCCGAGGTGCCAGGAATTCCATGGGCAAACTTTTATATTACGTCATATAAAAGTTTTTAACGTTCACTGGAGAATTATAACTTATTAAGTGAGACGCAATGGATGGGGTTATGAAAGGAAAGGCATGAGACACTGGGATTTAGTGAGATATCACTGGTCGGATTAATGGATGGAATGCTCCCATTGTAAAATAGGTGATAATACGCGTAACAATTGCAAAACTCTAGACTTCTACTTGGAATTACGGACATATCCTCCCCCATCAATATTTCAGGTTAAATTATCAAATGCTGAAGTAACTAATCTTAACTCCGGAAAGTGGTTATATGGTGACTGAAATTCTCGGGTTGAATGTGACTTGGCATTATGCAGATCCAGCACTATGAGAAATAGTGGCGATACCAGAGGACTCTATTTAATGTTAACATATTATTCTCGTTGGTTGTGTGAATGTGTGTGAATTTGCGGGGGTAAATAACAGGGGGCAAATGGTATGCGCAGCCTCCTACGTACACATGGATTTAATAATTTCCTGTCGTGCTGGAGATAAGGCTGAACAATTGATACGTGTGTCACCGGAGACCCTCTCGCCATCTGCATATCGCATGTGTGACATCAATTTTCCAACAACATGTTTTTCACGTTTGAATAAATATCGTACTTTCGGGGATGGGGGTTATTCCGCTCTACTGGAGGTCATGTTTTTTTTTTCCCCGTGGGTCGATGTTTTCGGATTTTTTTTTTTTATTGTTTAATTGGTGAATTTGTTTATTGAGGATAATGCCGGTTTTTTAGATTGACGTGAGATTCTTTGTCAATATTATTTTCCATTTTTTTTATTCGAATCGAATTCTCGAATCATTTTTTCTTAGTATTTTGAAATTATATATTGAAGCGATTTTGTTCCGACGAAAATCCTCCGCGAAATTTAATTGAAAGCTTCAAGAGAAAATCAATATACACCGGTAGATTCCCTTGAATTTTCTGGGGATCGCTAAGAAATTCCTGAAATTGTGGGAATTTCCTTGATGTTTAATTAATTTTCGCGGCAAAAATTGACCAAAAATTTGCATTCTTCCAGGGCGTAATGAATTTTTAATGAGAAAATGCCTGAGAAATTCATTGAAAGCGTCACTACTTGTTACAAATTTTCAAGCCTCTACCCGGAAATTTCCCGTGCTAAAGTGTTAGCCGTGCATTTCCTCCCCATCATCTTTCCCTTTTACCGCACAATACGAGAAGACGCATAAATACCGAGAGTAATCCAACTCCAGACGACGATTTAATTCAGCGTGGAAAAACGAGGGCGCCCTGGGGCGGTTTCACAAGGCTAAAATAAAGAAAAAAATAAAACAGTGGACATGTAGTTACGCTTTACAAATAGGGCCATTCAAAAACCGCGGACGAAACAAAGTGGTTACACGGTTAATTAATGTTAACTTGCCCCCCGTTTCCCAAGAAGACCAAAAAAAATAATCCAAATGTTGTGCAGCATTTAGCCCCCCGAAAACTTCATAAAGAATAAATTACGCGAGTACTGAGTAACGAGGGCATTTCCGAGGACCATTAGAAAACACCTTATCAACCCTAAATTATCATGAACAATTCCATGAGAAATTCGATTGAATTCAATCCCCAGGAAAAATGCTATCCAAAAATCCCCCCCGAAATCGCAGTAAAAAAAATCCGAGAGATAAAAGAAAAACAATTTTCCCCGTATATATTCAAAGTAATTCGTAAAATTAAATTATCGAACAAAGTAGTCTATTAAATTTTCGTAATGAGACATAAACTTTCAGCTCGCGATAAAACCGGGGTATCACTGAATTTTTTTAGATGAATGATATAATGATATACTGATATAATTTTCAAAATCCGAGGAGTCATTTGAACTCGGTGGGAATCATACGGATTTTTGGAATTCCGGGGATGATCAGGTGAAACTAACCAGAAAAAAAAAATAGTTAAATGAAAGAAAACGAGATGCACAAAGCAAAGAGCCTTTTGCCAGTTGTCTGTGTTGATGCCTCAATGAGAGGATGCACTAAGCAGCGATGGGATTCTCGTTTCCCGAACAATTCCACCGTGAACAAACGCTTCAGCGCGAACACCGTTATTTGAGAGAGGAAACTGGTGGAGCTTTTGGCTCACGCAGTTGTGCAAATCCCGTTGTGGTCAAATTAGATTAAGCCGTTGCATTCGCATATATATCTCCAGTAGTGTATTTCTACTTTATGGATGGGGTCGCCGAATATACATTGACTTCCGGCAGTAAGTTAATGCATTGGCTTATGGTCATTGCGCTTGATAAAAGGAAGAGAGAGAATTTATCTGGATCTCACGACAATGAAAATTTTTATCGGAAAAAAAAAATGAGGAAAAAAACCAATTTTGGCAGCAGTGAAACAAAATTTGAATGCCTCGTATTCATCGATACAAGAAAAACATATGGTACACCAAACAATGCATGAACTCACCTGCATTTTATCGCACATTGTTCGTGGAATACTCCGCAAGTGGAAAATACGAGTTACACCGGTTGTTTGTTCCCTTCTCAATGATTCCGTGATCACATTATTTTTGAGTTTATCGGGGAGGTGCCCCTTCAATCGTTTTGGGGGTTATTTAAAATTTTTGCAATATTGGTATTACCTATTGTTCATGATAATCCGTATTTATTAATGAGTAAATAGTTCCAAAGCCGCGGTAAATTGCCGAAATGCTCGGAAACACTTCAACATGAGGACTGAAAATCTATAATATGTCGAGTTAATGCATAAACTGTTCTTCATTCACTGTTTTGCCGATAAATTACAAATCAACGGGATGAGCCGGGATGATGAACGTCACGAGTAAAATGTGGTTTGCATAATAATTTTTTTCAATTTTTACCGGCATCTCGCCCTCGTGAATATGCAAATCAATTTGATTACGGAAAACAACGACTCGTATTTTCATGGATTACCGGGTGAATCCACTCGGCAGATGCTCATCAGAATTTCATGAGAGCCAGAAGAAAATCTCGGTTGTGAAAAATAATCCATCATCGGTGATCATTAGTCTTCAATAGTTATTTTCCCCAAGACTCTGGCATTGTTTGCCAACACAAATCACTCGGTTTCTCACCAAGATGAGAGAATGTATTCGCGATATCAATAAAAAATTCAGGAGTAATGGAATTTTCTGGTATCCCTGAGAACACGATTCGACGATCGAACAAAACAAACGTGACACGTTCGCGCCGCGGATCTCACTGAGTCCGCGAATTTTCTGTACAACCGCTCAAGTTTCCAACCCCCACCCACAATCACCCCTTTGCCATCCACCGTACGCAAGCGCATCACGAATAATCGGGGGGATACAGCACACCGCTGCATCACTTTGCGCATTCATCCAAAAATACTGGGTACCGTTATTTTATTAAAAAGCGTAGATCAGCTATGTGAAGTTGGCATCGAAGTTTGAAAAATCTAACTTTTTTTTGTTGGTTTGGATTGTACTCATTGAGTACTTGAATGTACCCTGTGCACTTTTTTTTG